TACATGTACATGTACATGTATTTGAATGTACTCGTAAATGTACATACTCAATAACTATTGAAATATTCCAACTACATGTACATGTGTAAGTGTCCACATTTTTTCTAACAATTTGTGTATATTCTTTTGACCACAATTTGCATTAATTTTTTAATTGTAATGTTATAAAAGACATACAGTATGCCTGGGTGTATAATCAAATAAATAATAGTAGACCAAATAAACAACATACCCTTTTCATTTTGTCCTCCAAATTTCAATATAACGGAACAACTACATGTGTACATGTACATGTATTCCTAAATAGGAATATGTTAACTATCTTTATATAATTCATAATATGTTCCTCTCCCTCCTAGTATAACAGTGACACTCAAGAAGGAGGAGTTTGACTGGAGAGGAGGGAACACTCGTACTATGCAGTTCCATCAAGCAGGAGGTGATAATCCTGTACTCAAACTCTCAGGGAAGACTCTTCAAGTCTCCATTGGTCCAGGATTACCCAGCAGCACTAGACCATCCCATCAGAGACTACCAGCTACCAAAGGAGGGAAGAGGCCAGGACTAGCAGCTCCTTCTTATCAGCAACAATCAAGAGGACCTCAACAGAATTTGGTAAGAGAGTAAGGATTGAGTGAGACCTTGTGTGTGTTGAAGAGACAATAGTACATTGTACATGTTCATGTACACTTTACCATGACATGCACTAATGGGCATGTACATGTACATGTATTTTGCCCATGGTTCCCACAAAGCATGCTAAGTGAGCTAAACAGCATGAGCTTCAGAAAAAACTTTTAAAATTCATAAAAAATCTAAATTTGATCGGAATCAACTCAAAGTTGATACATAGCATAAGGACATGTATATGTATTAGAAAAAATTATAAAAATGGAGAATTTTCTCCTAGCCATTTTTGATGAAATTTGGCCTGTGACCAAAAGCTATAGCCTTGTGTTGTTGGCTCGATTTTAGAGCAACTAATCAGCTCAAAGTTGATACACAGCATAAGAACATGTATATGTATCAGAAAAAATTATAAAAAATGGAAAATGTTATCCTAGCCATTTTTGACGAAGTTTGGCCTGTGACCAAAGGCTATAGCCTTGTGTCATTGGCCTGATTTTTGAGCAACTTTAAAAATTAATAAAAAATCCAAATTTGATTGTAATCAGCTCAAAGTTGATACACAGCATAAGAACATGTATATGTATTAGAAAAAATTATAAAAATATAACAGTCTAC